CGCCTGTGGGTTTACAGCTGTTGAACGCAAAGAAGAAGAAAAAAAAAAGAAGAAGAAGAAGAAGAAGAAGAAGAAGAAGAAGAAGAAGAAGAAGAAGAAGAAGAAGAAGAAGAAGAAGAAGAAGAAGAAGAAGAAGAAGAAGAAGAAGAAGAAGAAGAAGAAGAAGAAGAAGAAGAAGAAGAAGAAGAAAAAGAAGAAGAAGAAGAAGAAGAAGAAGAAGAAGAGAAGAAGAAGAAGAAGAAGAAGAAGAAGAAGAAGAAGAAGAAGAAGAAGAAGAAGAAGAAGAAGAAGAAGAAGAAGAAGAAGAAGAAGAAGAAGAAGAAGAAGAAGAAAACAAGAAGAAAAACAAAAAGAATTAGATTATGATGATAAGGATGCTGGCGATGACGAAGAATAGGAGGAAATAGAAAAAATAGTTGAAAACCACTGAGCTAGCGAATATAGTTGTCGTTTTTGTTTTCCATTGTTGTCTTTTTTGCTTTTTGTATTTTTATAATCTCGCACTTCTATCTTGAAACTTTAAATTCTCTATATAAACTGGTGTTAGAGATGTGTCATTTGATATGAACACTTGTTCCTGCTGCGAGGCGCTGTCCACATTTGGAGGTGACATCTTTAACTCCTGGTTTTGTAAGTTTCGCTTTTCATGTTTGTGTTGTCTAGTGTGTCCATTGATCTCTCTGCTTTCTGATTCCATTAAAGCCCAGTCTAATACGTGTGAAGATGACAATTGTAACTCTACAGTCCCAGTTGTCGTCCGTTTCTTTATGCCTTGATTTTATCCGGGTCAGTCGTTACGTGTTGAATGTTTTGTCATTATGATTGAGCTTTTAGCAGTAATGAATTTTTTAGATTATCTTCAGGGCACTTCGGACACTTATGTGGGTGTTCAGACTTTGTCATCAACATATAGATAAGCGTCTCGAGGCTAACAGTGCCAGTCCTACATAATCTTGTCTGGTGTGCCTCTCATTCTTTAGTGTGTCATGTTTAGTCACACAGCTAACAAGGCGCTTTTTGTCTTTAACTGTTTAAAGTATATTATAATCACTATCACTATCACCACCATGATAACTGCCACCACGGCCATCATCATCGTCACAACTATTATCACCACCGACACCACGGCCATCATCCTCATCATCACTATCATTAACAGCATCATCAGTTGGCCTGTTAGATGGTATAGTCGTCTATGCATACACACAGGGTGTCTTGTGTATGCTCTATTGAAGATACCCCCTCATGCCACCGTCTTCAGTCACCAGACTCTCGTGTGTACATACAGAGGCTCTGCTGACTCAGCCAGTAAGATCGCTGGACTCTCAAAAGACGAGCCACGCTCAAATCCTCCTTAGGATGGTGGATTATTTCTTGTTAAATTGTTTATTATTCGTTTCTGTGAAGCGAAAAAAAAAAAAAAAATTCTACCCCGTACAATCGGCGGCGACTGCAGTAAACAGACGATTCTAAATCCTTAGGCTCAAAGACCCCTACGGGTTGTCAACAACGGGATCTAAAGATGGTAGTTAAAGGAGGCAAATGTGATGATACATTCATTGCAGATGAAAGAAAACGCAAACAGCAAAAAGGAAATTCCTTCAAGGAGAGTTTCTAAATTTCTAAGGGGTGACGTGAGCAACTTTGAAAAAAAAAAAAAACATGATGTGGAATGAAAGAAATAAAATAAAATTAACGAAGGCTAAAAAATAGAAGCAAAGAATTGAAATTGCTATTGGTAAGATGTAATCAAATAGTAGGAGTTGAGTTGAAGCGAGATGATTTGAGTTAAGAATTTACGTCTCAGCACTCGAGACATACCAAAGCATGCTCCGTCCTCATCTTCAGCAGCCAGCGCAGAGTTCCAGTACTGATGGTACCGGTCACAATCTGGTTAAAAGTCCATCTTGCCTTTCCTCTGAGTGTAGTGAGCCGGCCGGACAATCTGGTTACACCAAGGTGTTATCTTATAGTAGGAATTAAAGAGTAATAGAAATACAAATGTTAATGATTCATAAATGGTACTGATGAGAGATAGAATAAAGTAATAATATGAAATAAAATAAAATAGAATAAAATAAATAAATTGAAAATGGGATAATAGTAAAAGTGTTTAGGTGAAGGTAGGCTTTTAAGTGTCTTCTTGTCAATATCGAAGAGGTATTCCCGGAAACGATCAGCTAGCTGCCTGCCAGTTTCCCTAATGTATGCCTTGCTGTATCTTTTGCAGATTATAGCATAAATTACGTTGCGGGATTCACAAGTAAAAGGTTCCCTAATTTGAAATGGATCATCAGAGAAACTGACTGGTGCGGTCTGGACAACGAAAGGACATGTCTTGCGGGTAGTGCGGGAGCATTCAGTAGTCCCAAAAGGAAGAGCTGTGTAGAGTCGGCTTCTGACAAGTATCTCTTTAAGGTTGCGGTCTCGTCTGTAAACTAATCTAGGTTTCTCACTAAAGATAATCTTGGTGTCCGGATCAGAGCGGAGGATGTCCAAATGACGAAAGAATACTTTGGAAGCAAACACATTGTTAGGGTGAAAAGTCAAGAACAATTTAGGTCCATCATTGGTGGAATTACGTTTGGTAGGAAAAGCATCTCTCCTGGTGATTGCTAAAACTTTGTTTAGCGCCCCTTGTAGAATATGTTCCGGAAAGAAACGGGCACGGAAGACATCAAGATTTATCAGAGAAGTCAGAATCATCAAAGCACAACCTGCGCAATCGAAGGAGCTGTGAATACGGAATAGCATTTTTACACGGTAGTGGGTGAGAAGACGTATAGAGAAGATAACTGTGAGAATCCGTTGTTTGCAGTAGGTTGTGGCCTTCAGACACGGCAAATCGGTGCTAACCGTGATGTCAAGAAAGTTCACTGAAGTGGTGGAGATCAGTGAGGTGAATTTGATAGCCGGATTGAAATTGTTAATGTAAGTAATAAATTGGTCAAGCTCAACAATGGACATTTCTGAGTCCGGAAAACATGTGACCGTCAACATATTAAAATTATATTTGTCTCTTTCTCTGGTGTGGAGTCCAATAGTTAGAACGATATTGTCCATTGCGAGGGGCCATGGTTTGAATCCTCAGTGTAGTGAGGAATGTTCATTTTCTGTCAGGGCTCCTCGCCCCCCCCCCCCCTTTCCCCTCTCCTTGCTCAAGCAATGGATATTATCTAAAAAGGAAGTTCAATAATTACCTGACGGCAAATTAAATCGACTTGCGAGAATGTGAAACTTTTGTATTAGGCTCTTGTCCATTGCTGATTCAGTGCACTATCTGTGAGAACTAACAGATTCTCAAAAAGAGATTTGGTTGGTACAAAATATTATTTTTTCAAATTTGTGAAGACAAGTATATTGACATCAAATTGATGAGGGGTAGGTAAATATTTAAAACATATTCCCCAGAGGAGTGACATGGAAAGTATGAAGCCGCTGTTAGCTCTGGTGTTGATGTTCACAAGAGCCCACATCCTCGTGCTTGGCCAAGTCCAGATAGGTAAGACCTGAGAGAGGGGTGAGAATGTGAGCGACACTGCATTGATGAAAGCATCACTGAGGTATTAGGGAATTACAAAATTCAATTCCAGATGGTGAACACTCATACTTGTTTGCCGGAGTTCACAGCCAGTGAAGGCGAAGAAAGAAAACATGTGCTCACATTTTTTTATGACTGACAAAGAGCTGTCAAGAATGCCCTCTGGTGGTCTTGTTTGTGGTTATCTTAAATAGAAAGATCCGCAAAAGACCCAACCCATACTTTGACATACATGGAGTCAAGAAAATCACATAAAGGGCCTAATGTGGTGGTGCTACACATTCTGCTCGGCAGCTGTACATACTTTGTCCTAAATGTTCTATTAAACTGCAATAAGTATAGCCTAAAAAAAGGAGAAATCCCAAAAACTGAGTCACGTAAATCAGGTAAATCGACTTGAAATCGTTGTTTCGCGTGGGTGTAAGGTTAAAACAGTGGACGTAGATTATATTGAAAATTAGGATGTGCAAAGAGATTTATTTGATTTCAACAAAAGTAGGCAGAGCAGAACGTATTGAAAACAATAACGAATTCATTATTGTTAATAGTCTTGCTGACTGAAGGTCTTGACTTCACAGTCTGCTATCTTCAAAAGTGTGTATCAGTTAGTGTGCTAAAACCCATACTTGCCATGACAAAAGGTTGTCAAAATCTTCTCTTTCTTTCCCATAGACCTTTTCAGTTGTCACAATATGTTCCAGTTTCCTTCTTTCATAACGTGACCGAAACATGATGACCGTATCTTTCTGGTGTGATACGTTTTCTTACAGCCACCGCCTCTGTCAAATAAACTGGGTGGTTATTGTTTCCCTGCAGAGCAATTCTAAGGATTTCCCTGTAAAATCACATTTCCGAAGTGCTAGAGGTTTCGGATTCAATCCCCGGTAAGGGCAGGTTTTTTGTTTTTCAAGTGTACTTGGACTTCTAGTAATTCCCTCTGGTCTCTGGGTAGTGAGATCGGACGCCCGTGTGCATTAGCTGTTGGAAATCGAAAAAAGTTGCCTAACGGCGCGGCCCGGACGAAATTTGGAGTAAAAAATCTACTTAAAGAATTTCAGGATCCTTGCCGGTGCTACAGAGCCTGTGCACTGTGCTGAGCTTCTTCGGAGTCAGACTTGAGTTGGAAGAAGAACGGAGCACTTAAGGGTTACTACCCGTGTGCCGTAATGTTGATCCTTTGTTGAAACCTGAAACCTCAATCCCATTTCCGAGGCTTCAGGAAACATGGCAAACTACCAGACGTACGCGCAGCCTAGTATTCGCAGGGACACATAAAAGCAACAAATATATACTTGGTTTGTAACATCCTCCAGAAACGATACAAAACTAACTGTTGTAAAGGATATAATGAGGGCCAAATTGACATTGACTTTCGCAAATTTTGCAGAAACAGTTTGCGAGAGGAAACTGTGGTCTTAATTTCATGAATGTCCCTTGTATTTAAATATTCTCCAGTCAGCAAAATAAATACATTGCTGTTCATACGTTGGCATCATTTAATCAAACAGGTGATGAAGCGTGTTACACGCGATTAGGGTGTTTCTCCACTGGTCCCCCGTTCAGCAGCCCACAGCGACCTATTTCAGTCCCCCCTCTGTCACAGGAAGCTCTCAGGTAAGATGTCTACTCCTGTTTAAAATAACGTTGAGAGAGAGAAAAAACTCCATTCTGTTCATTCTGTCCCTTCTGTTCATTCTCTGTGTCTACATTATTATTGTGAAAAGTTTGTTGTCGGTACTCAAAGTGTCGCTAAAGTCACGCCCACACATGTAACATCTACTTTGTCAAAGTTTCGTCTTCTCCAGTCCGCTTCTTGATTTTGACATCTAGAACGATGTCCTCTCAGTTGCCATGACTCCACATGTGTGCATTGTTGGAGCTAATGAGAAGACGAACTATCAATCCGATGACAAATAGTGCAGAAGTTGTATGTATAAGATGCGAGGGTCTTGGCCAGTTTTTTTCAAGCTGGGGGAGGGGAGCGGGAGGAGTTACTGCATTTGTACTTAATATAATGCAGAATTGTGGCTTTAACAGTCATGAAAACAAAAGAGCACTGCCATGCAGAGAGTGATCTCCATTGTGTCTTCTCCAAAGTCAGCAGATACCATCAAGACAGAACAGTATTTACTATATCATTGATATTTGGACATTAAATTACCACTTGTTGGTGACTGTTTCGTTTATTGACACCTTGATTAATAGGGCTGTTGTCTCCAAGGTCTTGTTTACAGTACTTATAGTTTCTCGTTCTGTTTTGTTCTTAAACCACATTGTTTTATGTTGGGTGGAAGAGGGTACACAGGGGGTCATGCCATATACTCTAGGGGCACCACCTAAAGAACGTTAGAAACAACTTGTCTAACTAGTCGTCAGGTTCTTCCAAGAAGATTTCTGGTCACATTCAACTGAGAATATCTTCTGATTTTTTGTCTTCTTATCGTTCACAGGCTACAAACTCCGGGGGGGGGGGGGGGGGGGGGGGGGCAGGTAGCGGGTTCTGGTTGTTTGTCAACTTATAATCTTGAAGACATAGAGAATGAAGCCATTCGGGTAATTATAAGATGTACAAAAGATACCCCTGTTTTATGTATGCGATATATACGTGCACTTCCTGCTATTGCAGATACGCTCCGCAAACAAAAATGAGTAGCTGAAGAGAAAAAGCACCTCCTACATGAAGCCCTGGGTAGTCCAGAGTAGCCCTGGGTAGTCCTGGGTAGTCTTGTGCAGTCCTGGGTAGTCCTGGGTAGTCTTGTGTAGTCCTGGGTAGTGCTGGGTAGTCCTGGGTAGTGCTGGGTAGTGCTGGGTAGCCCTGGGTAGTGCTGGGTAGTCTTGTGTAGTCCTGAATAGTGCTGTGTAGTCCTGGGTAGTGCTGGGTAGTGCTGGGTAGCCCTGGGTAGTGCTGGGTAGTCCTGGGTAGTCCTGGGTAGTGCTGGGTAGTTCTGGGTAGTGCTGGGTAGTGCTGGGTAGTGCTGTGTAGCCCTGGGTAGTGCTGGGTAGTGCTGGGTAGCCCTGGGTAGTGCTGGGTAGACCTGGGTAGTGCTGGGTAGTCCTGGGTAATCCTGGGTAGTGCTGGGTAGTTCTGGGTAGTGCTGGGTAGTGCTGGGTAGTGCTGTGTAGCCCTGGGTAGTGCTGGGTAGTGCTGGGTAGCCCTGGGTAGTGCTGGGTAGACCTGGGTAGTGCTGGGTAGTCCTGGGTAATCCTGGGTAGCCCTGGGTAGTGCTGGGTAGTGCTGGGTAGCCCTGGGTAGTGCTGAGTAGCCCTGGGTAGTGCTGGGTAGCCCTGGGTAGTGCTGGGTAGTCCTGGGTAGTGCTGGGTAGTGCTGGGTAGCCCTGGGTAGTGCTGGGTAGTCCTGGGTAGTCCTGGGTAGTGCTGGGTAGTTCTGGGTAGTGCTGGGTAGTGCTGGGTAGTGCTGTGTAGCCCTGGGTAGTGCTGGGTAGTGCTGGATAGCCCTGGGTAGCCCTGGGTAGTGCTGGGTAGTCCTATGTAGCCCTGGGTAGTCCTGTGTAGCCCTGGGTAGTGCTGGGTAGCCCTGGGTAGTGCTGGGTAGCCCTGGGTAGTGCTGTTTAGTGCTGGGTAGCCCTGGGTAGTGCTGGGTAGTGCTGGGTAGTGCTGGGTAGTGATGGGTAGTGCTGGGTAGTGCTGGGTAGTGCTGGGTAGTCCTGGGTAGCCCTAGGTAGCCCTGGGTAGTGCTGGATAGTGCTGGGTAGTCCTAGGTAGCCCTAGGTAGCCCTGGGTAGCCCTGGGTTGTGCTGGGTAGTCCTATGTAGCCCTGGGTAGTCCTGTGTAGTCCTGGGTAGCACTGGGTAGCCCTGTCTAGCCTTTGGTAGTCCTAGGTAGCCCTGGGTAGTGCTGTGTAGTCCTGGGTAGTACTGGGTAATCCTTGGTAGTCCTGGGTAGCCCTGGGTAGTACTGGGTAGTGCTGGGTAGTCCTGGGTACATCTGGGTGGTCCTGGGTAGCTCTGGGCAGTCCTGGGTAGTCCTGGGTAGTTCTGGGTAGCCCTGGGTAGAGCTTAGCCTCACAGACTCAAATGAGGAAGGTCTTGGAGGGCGTAAGCTGAAGGCACAATTAGACTTGTTTGCAGGCTTGATAAATTTGGGCAGGGAGAGGAGCGGGTCAAGGTGTCCGAACAAGTTTCAGACTTCCGTAGGGTTCTAATCACTTTAGATCGTGACTGCAGAGACTGGCTAGCTGGTGCTGTAGGATCAGAAGTTCCGCGTAACAGTCCAACAGTCAGTAAGCACAGGCGGGCTCTGATTGTCTTTTCCACACAGCAGAGATGTCATGGTGAAATGGTTTACCACTCTCATCAATAAGAGCTCCACTGTCATACATACAAGTAACTGTTTCCTCGTTGTGCAGAACGAACTACATCCTGTACACGCGAGAGCGGAGACCTGAACCCCAGACACTAGACGCCAGGTTCCCGGAGAACATCTGTAACGTGTGGCCCAGCTTCAGTTCCAGGCCAACCAAATTCATCATTCATGGTTTCGTTGAGAGCGTCAGAACTGTGTCCTGGATAATAGTGAGATCAACCAGTTAACTTTTGTGTGTGCCTTCTTTACAACTAACGGTGGCAACACTGTATCTCCAAGATTGTATGTTTCACTGACAAACTGTTGTTTGTCTATATAGTGATGTTATCTTAACCAGTTGATATCCAGTTCACATACTGACAAACTAATAAAGTAAAAAAAAAAAAAGTAAAGTTCCCTTTTCACGCCTTTCGGCGCATCGGGCATATGGGCAGAGCGTCCCATATTTTTACAGACCATCAGCACTCTGTGGGTAATGTGGTCAGCATTACGCCGGTTGTCTTTACTTTCCCAGGACAGCCCATCCTGGTACCCATTTTAGGCTGGGTCGACCTGCGACGTTCCATACCACGACAAAAATCCACGCAGCCTGCAGTGGGTTTCGATCGCGGTATGCTGGCTTGCGAGTCGGACTCGCAACGCCTTAGCCACGGACGCGACAAACTAATATGTCGATGTTATTTGACCCAGTTGATATCCCACTGAAAAACTAACAAACTTATGTTTGTCTATAGAGTGATGTTACCTTAACAAGTTGATAACCAGTTTATATACTGAAAAACTAACAAACTTATGTTAGTCTAAATAGTGATGTTACCTTAACAAGTTGATAACCAGTTTATATACTGAAAAACTAAAATGTCGATGTTATTTGACCCAGTTGATACCCCACTGACACACTGACAAACTGATGTTTGTCCATATACTTATGTTGCCTCAACCATTTGATATCCTACTAACACACTGACTTGAGCAAGTACGGAATCGTCACGCCGCAGCTCCTGATCCATACGTTATCTTTTCACTTTCATTGTTTCCCAACTTTGTAATTTGAGGCTGGACTAAATGTAATCAAAAAAGGTTGGCCTAAGCCAGTTTTATTTGGTCAGCTTTTTTTTTTATGGAGCCTGTCATATTTTAGCCATTGTCTGAGCGCATTAGGCATTCACTATCATCGAGTTATAAAGCAGAATACAGTACTTGAATCACTTTGTAAACCTCAAAATAGTTAACATTGTGTTATAACCAGGTTTGATTGAGCCAAATACGTACGCTATAACTTGCAACCAACTCTACCCAGACTGCAACACTGGTTGAAGTGCTTATCTACCTGTTTTATATACCTTATGTTTAAAACATCACCGCAAACAGTCTTGAAATAACCAGTTGTATGACAGTGTCTGTGGCTTAGGCGTTGCGAACGCGCTTCGTAATGCCTGTGTGCCGGGTTGGTTCCCAGCTGCGGACAATTTGTTCTGAGTTGGTTTCGACAGTGGCACCAAGAGCTGACCGTTCAGGAGCAATGGCAAACTACTGAACGTACATTTTGCCTAGAAAAACCACAAGAGTAACACAATGCTGATTGGTTCTGCAACGTCCTGTAAAAAAAACGCAACTAGCTAACTAAGAAACTTCTAACATAACCAACCAGTTGAGTGACGCAGTGCCATTCGTGATATTTGTATGGATCAGGGAAACAGAATACAGCTTCTTTGGTTTGAACTCGCTCCACTGACTTGGCAAAGTAAACGCAGTTGGAATTACGCAATCAACTTAGGTATATGAGTGCTTCCTGTCGCGAAAACCTTATGCAACTGGTAAAACATGGCATATTTTGTGTTTATTGCTGGTAAATGTTATATTGTCACAGGAAATGGCGGAAGAGTTCCTGAAGAAGGCAGATTTTAACGTCATCATCGTCGACTGGGCTCTGGGAAACAAGCCTCCAGTGTTTCAGGCCGTAGCCAACACCAGGGTTGTCGGGGCACAGGTGGCGCTGCTGGTCAACTACCTGATTGTGAGTGTCCACTTATTGTCTTCTTTATTCAACATTTTTCTCGTTTCTCTTTTACATTTTCAGTTGATTATTTGAGTGCCCCGTTTATGATAGGTTATGAGAGACTGAGCTCCTACAAACACCCGCGCGAACACAGACACACTCACACACATACATGCATGCATACAGACAGACAGACAGACAGACAGACAGACAGACAGACAGACAGACAGACAGACAGACAGACAGACAGACAGACAGACAGACAGACAGACAGACAGACAGACAGACAGACAGACAGACAGACAGACAGACAGACAGACAGACAGGCAGACAGACAGACAGGCAGACAGACAGACAGGCAGACAGGCAGGCAGACAGACAGACAGACAGACAGACAGACAGACAGACAGACAGAATACATGCGTACATATGTGCTTTCCTGAGTGCAGAAGACCTGGTAAAATAATGTCCAGTTTGCAGAAAGTGGTCATGGAGGACAAGTGGCAATGTAAGCGTGACGTAAAGTGCTATTGGGTCTGTAATTCCTGATTATAACTGAGACGATGATAATGATTATGCATAAATGATTGAAGATTGTGATGATGATAAGGAGGTGATGAAGTGATGATTACCTTCATAGCTCGTTGAATGATAAACGCCTGTTGTATCTTAAAAAACTGATTTTCATTTAGGACTGATAGCCCCTCCCCCCCCCCTCCCCGGCCTTGTTTTCCCCTTTTTTTCACCTCTACGACACTACAGAATGGACACGTCGGTGAAGTCTTCGTGTTTTTCGCGTTCCACGGCAGTAGCCTAAAGCGGAAAGTGTGTGCACATCCGTTTGACAGATCAGGCTTATTTTTAAGCAGATTGTTATTTCCTCACTTCTCAGGCAGACGCTCTCCAACTTTGAAAAAAACACATCTAGCCTACTTTTACGACATGCTTGTTTGGTGACAGTGGGTCTATTATATCCACCCCATCTCCCCCCCCCCCCCACCCCTGATAAAAGGGCCTATGAACCTAATGAGATATAGGGGTTGGGGGTGATTCGCTGGTAGAGTGAAGACAAAAATCCAAAACAATGGGCACTTTTCCTTTAGACTCCTTTCATTGCCACGTCATTTTACAGAGCACGAATCTTACGACAGCTGACGACATCCATATCATTGGCCAAAGTCTTGGAGCGCATATAGCTGGATATGCTGGGGAGAGGGTCCCTGGCATGGGTCGGATCAGTGGTGAGTTTGGCTTGTGCGTCTATGGTTTGGGGGTTTTTTGAATAAAAAAAATTGGGGGGGGGGGGGGGGGGGGGGGGCTGGGGCTAAGGTAACTATTTTACAGATATTCTTGTATAGGATGTAAGATTCGGCGAATCGAAGTCAGAATGTCTGAATGTATGTGGTCACTGTGTGGGATGACTGAGCGTGATGTCTGAATGTATGTGGTCACTGGGTGGCATGTCTGTGAGCGTTATGTCTGAGTGTATGTTGTCACTGGGTGAGATGTCTGTGAGTGTAATGTCTGAATGTATGTAGTCACTGGGTGAGATGTCTGTGAGCGTTATGTCTGAATGTATGTGGTCACTGTGTGGGATGTCTGTGAGCGTTATGTCTGAATGTATGTGGTCAGTGGGTGGGATGTCTGTGAGTGAATTGTTTGAATGTATGTAGTCACTGGGTGGAATGTTTGTGTGTGTCATGTCTGTATGTATGTAGTCACTGGGTGGGATCTCTGTATGTGTAATGTCTGAATGTATGTAGTCACTGGGTGGGATGTGTGTGAGCGTGATGTTTGAATGTATGTGGTCACTGGGCGGGGTGTCTGTGAGCGTAATGTCTGAATGTATGTGGTCACTGGGTGGGATGTCTGTGTTTGTGATGTTTGAATGTATGTGGTCACTGTGTGGGATGTCTGTGTGCGTTATGTCTGAATGTATGTGGTCACTGGGTGGGATGTCTGTGAGCGTTATGTCTGAATGTATGTGGTCACTGGGTGGGATGTCTGTGAGCGTTATGTCTGAATGTATGTGGTCACTGGGTGGGATGTCTGTGAGCGTTATGTCTGAATGTATGTAGTCACTGGGTAGGATGTCTGTGAGTGTAATGTCTTAATGTATGTAGTCACTGGGTAGGATGTCTGTGAGTGTAATGTCTGACTGTATGTAGTCACTGGGTAGGATGTCTGTGTGCGTGATGTCTGAATGTATGTGGTCACTGGGTGGGATGTCTGTGTGCTTGATGTCTGAATGTATGTGGTCGCTGTGTGGGATGTCTTGAGCGTGATGTCTGAATGTATGTGGTCACTGGGTGGGATGTCTGTGTGCGTGATGTCTGAATGTGTGTGGTCATTGGGTGGGATGTCTATGAGTGTAATGTCTGAATGTCTGTGGTCACTGGGTGGGATGTCTATGAATGTAATGTCTGAATGTATGTGGTCACTGGGTGGGATGTCTGTGAGCGTTATGTATGAATGTATGTGGTCACTGAGTGGGATGTCTGTTAGTGTAATGTCTGAATGTATGTGGTCACTGGGTGGGATGTCTGTGAGCGTTATGTCTGAATGTATGTAGTCACCGGGTGGGATGTCTGTGAACGTTATGTCTGAATGTTTGTAGTCTCCGGGTGGGATGTCTGTGAATGTAATGTCTGAATGTATGTGGTCACTGGGTGGGATGTCTGTGTGCGTTATGTCTGAATGTATGTAGTCACTGGGTGGGATGTCTGTGTGCGTGATGTCTGAATGTATGTGGTCACTGGATAGGATGTCTATGAGCTTGACGTGTGGTCGTGAACTGTTGCACCACTGACGTGTTATGACGTTTACTACGACTTTCCATTGCAGCCCTTGTCGTCACTGACAGAAAGTGGTCTTTATTGTCGTACTAGTGTCATGACGTTGTCTATGGATCTTTATTTCCCCTCTTGATGCCACTGACAGAAATGGTTCTCTAGTATTATACAAGCGTTATGACGTTGTCTATGAATCTTTATTTCACCCCTTGATGCCACTGACAGAAATTGTTTCCTAGTATTGTACAAGCGTCATGACGTTGTCTATGAATCTTTATTTCACCCCTTGATGCCACTGACAGAAATTGTTTCCTAGTATTGTACAAGCGTCATGACGTTGTCTGTGGATCTTTATTTCACCACTTGAGGCCACTGACAGAAATGGTTCTCTAGTATTTCTCTAGTGTTATGACGTTGTCTCTGACTCTTTATTGCAGCCCTTGATGCAGCCGGACCGTACTTCACTGACACTCCTCCACCCGTGCGATTGGATAGGACGGACGCCAAGTTTGTGGATGCCATTCACGTAGATGCTGAACCTAATTCTCTGATTGGTAATGGAATTATGTCTTGTGGATGTCGAATGTTGAATTGCAAACTGACATCACGGCACCGGGACATTCCCACATGCGCTTCTTCCCTATCTACAGCAGCAAGCGCATAGTTGAAATGTCGATGGTAACAGTAACAGTCTGACTATGTAGTATCCATCTCGCCCCCTCTCGAGCTTTGAACTTAGGTCAGATCACCTTCTAGTTCCTTGCAGCACGATTCTTCTCAGACCGTGGTGCTTCAGCACTGTTCACTCGATCTCTAAGAACTCTTACGACTCTTATCATAGATCATTTCACCACCACATCGTGCAAATTATTTACTTTAGAACAGGTCAGTCATGTCAGATACCTTGGAAACGTAATAGTCTGGAATGGAGGCATTAAAGCAGATTTGACAAGTCGAAAAACGGCAGCTGGAAGACTTTTCCAGGCGAGAAAACGAGGGTTTATCACCAAAATAGAAACTATCAAGAGGACGAAAATGGCTGTTGGTCTACTTATGTGCCAGTTTGACCGACGTTTGTGTGGCAACAGCTCACAGACGCCGGCTTCATGCCACAGAAATGAGGTATCTAAAGGCGGTTTAAATGACAAGGATAACAAAGTTTGAAACATTATGGTCTTGAAATCCAGGGTTTACAAACTGAAGTGGATCGGTCACAGTTTTCAGATGTATGTAGAATGGGAGAGAATCGGTAACCACGGCAGGCATGGGCGACCAAGAACCAGGGAACCAGACCTCCAGGACGACCCAGGGTGCGCTGGGAAGACAACATGGACTAGAAAGGGAAAAAGCTAAAAAGAAAACTGCTGATAGAAAAGTCTGGCCATCTCTCTGGCAAACCGCTACACTCCAGGATAGGGGAAAAAAAACGATAAAAAAAAAGGATGTAGGTGGTGCAGATCCAACCGGTCTTTCTGCCTGTTCGATTCCCATCCCAGCAGCATACCCTTGAGGAAATGCACAGAGCCTTGTTTTTAAATCATCACATCATGTGGATAAATATTAGCCTACGCTTACCAGTAGGGCACATGATGATGATGGGTTGACTGACATGTTGTAACTTATTTTTTGCTATAATCATGCTAGTGTGTGCGTGTCTGTGTGTTTAGCTTAGCTTTTCTGGTTTTGATAGTTGGTCGAATTGGCCCTCACTTTAACTATCACAAAGTATTTACTTGTCCCATAAGGACGTGCAGGAGACAACTGCAGTGATTTTCGTGCTGTGGCTCAGGGAGGGCCTGGATGACAGTGATTGCTCGGATCTGATAACGCTACAGCCACCATAGGTCACAGGAAGGAGATAGCGAACTTGCAAAGCACCTTAGGTCAAGTTAGGCTGGGTAGTTGTAAAGCTAGAAATTCCTCGGTTCGTCATGCTTCTCTCTACATATGTCAATTAAGACTGTATATGAGTTAACCCTTCCTTATGCGGTTGAGTCTCTAGTGTGTTGGTGTACTCGTTGTTATGGGCCTTGAGTGACAAGCCACAGTAAAAAATAAGGACCCTTTTCCCACGTCTTCAGGCGTAATGGGCATATAGGGCAAGACCTATATTTGATAGACCAATCGGCACTTGGTAGATGATGTGCTCCACATCCAACCGGCCTCCTTTATTTCCATGACTGCACCTATTACCCACCTAGTACCCACCTAGTACCCACTCAACAGCGCCAAGGTCGTTTGTGAAGCAAGTCGGGTTCCGACAGGACACGAACACAAGACCTTCCGATCCACAGGCGAGCGTCTAGCCGCTAGACCATGGCGAATCCCAACCCATAGTGGAACTCTATATATTTATTTACTATCCCTAATATGTGTTTGTAAGACAGTAGAATAGACAGTAGGTAATTCATGTAGCCATACTATGGCACTACACAGTGATGCTCTTCTTACTCCTGATGGTAAGTAAAAGTAAAGTAAAGATCCCTTTTCACGCCTTTCGGCGCATCGGGCATATGAGCAGAGCGTCCCATATTTTTACAGACCATCAGCACTGTGGGTAATGTGGTCAGCATTACGCCGGCTGTCTTTACTTTCCCAGGACAGCCCATCCTGGTACCCATTTTAGGCTGGGTCGACCTGCGACGTCCCATACCACGACAAGAATCCACACAGCCTGCAGTGGGTAATGGTGTACAAATTATCATGCAGCTCTGGGCACGCCAACACCGATTGGCCACGCTGACTTCTTTCCTAACGGTGGATATGATCAGCCTGGGTGTGGAGAGGTTCGCCTCTCAGATCTACTAGAGAATCCACTTCTCGAAGGTAGGTAACTAACAGCCCAGTAAAGAACGTGCTGGTTTCTGTGTTGTCGGACCTGTCACTGAAGTTTCTCATTTAATCTTGTAGTGCATGGGTAACTGAGTTTGATTGGATGATTGTATGGTTGGCTGGTTGACTGGTTGATCTGCTGGCTGCCTGGATGGTTGGGTGATTCTATAATTTTCCTGGGTGACTGCTCGTCCGGTTGTGTGAATAGCCGGTTATATAGTTGATTGACTGCTGTAATGATAAACTGTCCGATATCTTTGATACATGGCTCATTGGCTGATTAGCCAGTTCGTGACTATGAGGCCCTTTCATTGATGGGCATTAGTTGGTTGGCATGCTGGGTGGTTGCGTGGCTATGTGGTTGTGTGGCTATGTGGTTGGGTGGCTGGGTCGTTGGGTGACTTTGTGGTTGGGTGGCTAGGGGACTGACTGTTTTTTTATGGATGGTTGGGCAGTTGGGTTGTTGGCTCGCTGGTTGGCTGGTTTTGTAGCTGGCTGGTGGTTTGGTGGTTGATTGCTTGTTTGGTAGATAGATAGGCAGCCGATTCATAAGCTGGTAGATGAGTTGACTCTCTGGCTCTTTGGTTGATTGATTCATTTAATGGCCCTTTAATTGTGGTATTCTATCAGGTCTAGGTGAAGTTCTGATCTGTAGCCACTTGCGAGCCATCAAATACTACAATGAAAGTATTAACACCCAGTGTGAATTTGTGGCCTTCCCGTGTGCGAGTAAAGAATTGTTTGAGGTCAGCTATCCCCTTTTTTATTATATGTTGTAGCTACATGTTAAACCAGTCAATTTTCACTTTTAAAAGAGAGATTTTACTTTAATAAAATGGGCATAATGTTCTAATACTAAGTCCGGAACTAGCTCTAAACAGTCTTCTCTCAGAGAGATTCAAACATTGAAAAAAAAATCAGACTTTCTGAATATCAGTGATGGCGATATACTAGTTACAACACAGTCTTTGAGGCGTCTGCTAAGCAACAACGTTTGTGTACTCACAAAACGAACGAACGAATAAAGTTTATTTTTAAAGGGTTACAAACTGGGCACGCTGGCCCAACTGACTTTCAGCCCATCTTTAAGAGCACCAATGCCTTTTATCAATAATGCATTTTATGTTTATTTAAAAACAAAAAACAAATACGCATTATGGAATAATGCATTCACACATCATGTATAATCAAACACACACACACACACACCCACACACACACACACACACACACACGTCTGATCCCACTAGGAGTAGGCCGATGTTTTGAGCCATTTTCGACCAGTAGGTCAGACGAAACTGCAAACTGCTTGTATCTATCACGGCCAATATGTGAACTTTTCTTTATATACATGTCTATGTGTGTATATATATATATATATATATATATATATATATATATATATATATATATATATATATATATATATATATATATATATATATATAGAAAGCAGATGTGGTGAAACCGCTAGACGCTCGCCTGCGTATCGAAAGATCGTGGGTTCAAGTCCTGTCCGAGCCCGACCTTTAATGGGTACAAGGTAAAGTTCAGGAAAGTAAAGCTGAAAAGAGTAATGCTGACCACATTACCCAAAACGTGCTGACTGGTCTATAAAATGTAGTTCTAGTCCTATATACCAAATACGCCTGCATGCATAGATATAGGTGTGTATGTGTGTATGTGTGTGGTTGTGTATACTGGAAAACAAAGTGCTAATACTCATTACAAGGTATCTTTAAAAATGTGCAACTGCTCACCACAGCAACTACAATGATGTCCAAATAAGGTCGTTATACCCAGATCACACAAAACCAGGAACTTACATTTGGATGTGCTTGCCTATCTGTGTGTTTCAAGGCTTACACCATTCTGTGTCCTCAGGAATTTTTCTGGAAAGTAAAGTCGGTCGCACCTCACCAGTCAAGTGGACTTTCTGTTCTCTAAACACATCCGCTTAAAACCGCACGGACCTTTCAAAATGCAGCTTTAACGATAATAGGCAATCCTCAAACAGACTGATACATCTATGTACTTGAGTACAATAATAGCGGCAGATGGAGATGTATTAAGTGAGTTAAATGTTGAATAGATTAAGCAAAGGCAGCATTTTACAAAATGACAAATATTCTTTAGAATATTTTTTTGTCGAACGAGACGAAAAAGAGGATTTACTAGACTTATAAAACCCCTGTTGTGATATACCGAAAAGACGCATAGATAGTTAGACAATAAGTGACAAATTATTTGGAAGCTGCAAAAATGTGGTTTTTTAGGCGAATGATGAGGATAACCTGGAAAGATCTAAACAGTAATGAAGATGTTTTGAAAGAAACTGACTAACGAAGAGAACCGACTGCTCTCATCAGGTGGAGATAATCTGTATTCTTTGTTTGTGTCATAAGGAGAATACAACTGGACGTGGCGATGGGGAAGCTAAAAGGGTAATGAGGCAGAGGAAGACGTGAGAAATGGTGCCGATAATTTTAACATACGGCGATTATCTCTGTCAGAATTCATTGAAATTATACGAGACATAAGGAAAAGCCCGACTACCCACGCCCCACGGCATAGACAATAAATAAGAACGAACTTAATACATAGTTCCCAAAAGAGGTGCCAGTACGCATACACAAAATAACTTTTACAGTAGAGCTGACAAAAGTGATGCCTAAAAAGGGGGAAAGGGGGTGCCGCTGCTTGTGGCCAGAATTTAGGACCTGGGTAAGACACACCCGAATGCATTTGATGCAGTTGGGCGTGTCTTTTTACATTTCAGGAGATTGAACTGCCTTCACAGTTTTATCTCTAACACCCTAGTCATGGCCCCTAGTACTCCACAGGGGGTATTTATTCCCCCAGGCGACACGTGTGGGAATTCTGCTGAGGAAGCATCGACCCGGCTGTTTTGATATACCAGCTAAGTGATTTTGTGTATTTGTGTAGTATTGTTTGATTTGTCTGTGCTGATGAAGGCTCCATAGCCGCAACGTTCACGTTTTGTTTGTATTTGTTATATTGTTAAGTTTGCTAATATACTTTTTGTTCGGTTTTATATCTTTACTTGATACATTTGAGTCTGTGTGTTTTAAAGGTATGTCTGATGTACATAACACACTGCCATGTATATGTTCAAGAAGCTTTTATTTGACAGGATTATGTAATGTGTGAAGTTGAGAGAACTAACCATTATTTCCTAGGCCGGTCTGTGCCAGAGCTGCGGCGTTGAGGGCTGTTCACGTATGGGATTCCCTGCCGATCAGTTTAAACCTCCCCAAGGGCAAAACGGCACATACTTTCTGAGAACAGCATCTGAGCCTCCATTCTGCCGTAAGTCTCTGTTTGTTTATCTCATTGTGTGCGTCTACATACTACAAGGTGCTGGCTGTATTTATGTACGTCTATATAGCTGCAGGCTGCATCACTCACCATGATCCCTCTACGACCCCTAAAACCCATCATCTATCTAAACCACTTTGGGACATGGCCCCTCACTGCAACAGCTGCATCTAACACTATGATACGACGCCAGACACATAAACCCGCATTTTCCACAAAAAGTCATAATACTATATGTCCATTGGCCCTAATGACACCTCAACTATACAGCATGCTTGTCGATGTCCACATATTGTTGTAGCGTTCAGTATGCTAGCGCTTTTAACACTGCAAAAACATGGAGAAACTGGTCCCAACACAACTGCCATAGAGAATGCTGCAACCTGTGTCACAGGCATTCTCTTCCACGACATTTCAGGTCACTCTTTTTTTTTCTGCTGCCAGACGGTGGCCGCTGATCTGATCAAAGATGGCCTTAGAGATTCTCTGGAACATTCTCGTTACCTCAGTCTATTAGTTTCTGATTTGAATGTTTAGATTTGCCGTGCGCTAAACTACACAAAAACGCTGCTGGAAAATCCTGGTCGCTCGTCCACTTCTGGAATTTATTCGTGCTCCAGTACTTGTTGGGTTTTGCTTGCATATTCGTTAACAAACATAGTTAATTTGCATAAAGACTTCGTTTTTTCACCTGGTTGGTTTCCCAAACGCCCAGCCTGGCCACCCAACTACCCGAAGGATATTATGACGGTAATCCAGACTGAACGGGGAAACCGCCCAGAATGAGTTTTTTTTTAGAGATGGCTCTCGTCGTTTGGGTTTCTCCCGTGACTTGGTTGTGACCGATTCCTGTCCCCTTGGCCAGACCATTGCAGGAGAGCTATACTTTGATCTTAGCCAAAAGGCCAAGAAGCGATTGGCTGTTAGTTCCGTGCCTGTCAAGCTGATGAAGTCCCACTTCAAACGCGCGCTTCTCATTCAAATGAAACTGCATTTAAACCACCTTTATCTTTTACTGTTTACTTCCAGGTTGAAGTTTTGTGATTAAGGTCGGAGCGTGACTTCGGGTTCATTCACCTCCTTGCTTGAGACATGCTGACACGCGACGGGTTTGGGATTTTACCTTTGACCTTGAATTACTTCAAATGCTTCCAGATGCCGACAGTGCGGACAATAAGTTTCCCTTAATGATAATGATATTCATAGAATAAGCATTATTAAATATTATTAGTTAAAAACATTACTCGTGTTTTTCTTAATTTTCTCGAGTGCTCATATCTTATCTACAGTGATTTGAGAATTAGGCGGCACGGTTATAAATCAATTTATTTATATTCTTGAATATGTGCACACACCAAACAAGTTTGAAAGGAAACAGCTATATTCTGGTAATTGTCGAAGATTTTCGTCGTCTTCTTCTTCTTCTTCTTCTTATTATTATTATTATTATTATTATTATTATTATTATTATTATTATTATTATTATTATTATTATTATTATTATTATTATTATTATTATTATTATTATTATTATTATTTTTGTTATTCTTCTTCTTCCTCTTCTTCTTCTTCTTCTTCTTCTTCTTCTTCTTCTTCTTCTTCTTCTTCTTCTTCTTCTTCTTCTTCTTCTTCTTCTTCTTCTTCTTCTTCTTCTTCTTCCACTTCCTCCTCCTCCTCCTCCTGCTAATCACCTTCTTCTTTTCTTCGGCCTTATCCAACTATGAACTCTGGCGGAAAATGCAAATTGTTTCTGTATGAATGAACGAATCAAGGAGGTCAAAAGAAATTAAAAGAAATACTAAACTAAAAATTTTTAATTCTAATGTCAAATCAGTACTATTGTATGGGGCGGAAACATGGAGAACAACGAAGGCAATTACTAATAAATTACAGACATTCATTAACTAGTGCCTGCACAGAATAGAGGGAATAAAATGGTATGATAGAATAACTAATGTAGAACTTTGGGAGAGAACTAAACAGGCTCCAGTGGATCAGGAGGTGAGGAAAAGACGCTGGCGTTGGATAGGACACACACTGAGAAAACAGAAGAACAGCATAACTAGAATGTCTTTGCATTGGAACCCACAGGGGCATAGGAATAAAGGCCGGCCAAAAAACACATGGAGAAGAGAGCTGGAGAATGAGGTTAGAAAGATTGGGAGGACATGGGGAGAGCTCCATGTAATGGCGAAGGATAGAACGACTTGGCGTGAGTTGGTTGAGGGCCTATGCTCCATTGGGGGATAAAAAGGCAGAAGAAGAGCGAATCAAGGACATTCCCAGAGTGCTCTGTCTCCCTCCTCAGTAGCCAACGAAGACTCGACATGCAACCAGGTTAGAAGTCCGTTTATCTTTCCAGAACATTTACATATTCTCCGTTGAATTAATTGTTCATGCATCCATCTGCTGTCTGTCTTATCGTATTGTCTGTCTGATCCAACAGAACCTTCCGCACTATAAAGCAGCTTACCGCCCAGCTGCGTGGCAGCAGTAAGTCTATCAGCTCGTACATCTGAATAAACTTGGATAGACGATCCATGATATACGCCTTATCCTATTCTGTTCTAGTAAGCACCTCAGCGTCTAGGTCACCAGTTAAACTTTTCTGAAACACGCTCTATGAGTCGTTACAAATACAGTATGTCTGGTTGCGCTGTTCTCGTGCCATCGGAAAGCGGCAGTTGCTGCCTCCACCTTCATTCTCATACTGTACGGAAGTGAATCATAAACAGTTGATAAATTAGTGAAAACCTATTTGGAAACTAGGAGTTGTGGTTTCATAAACAAAGTATGAGAATACCTTGACATATAAAAAGAGCAACGAAGACGTCTTGAAAACTTACCTACAGGGAGACAGAAGAGAGAACAAATGCTGGACAGTCTGAGATCCTGCCATGGAGGATAATCTGTGTCAAAGTTGATTGAAAGTACTCGAAACAGGAGGTTGTAGATAGACGTGACTACCGCTGCCATATGGCATGGATTTTATGAAGAAAATGTAGTGATATTGTACGCAAACCTCTCTATTTCCAAGCAATGTCCAATGTCCATCAACCGTTGCAATAAAAACTCACCCACAAATCTTACCTCTGACCACAAACCCCTCTGCGAATATTATAATGACAGCCAGACGGGAACTGTAATTGACCATCTCCTGCACATCTGACTCTAATTCACCAGCTGTCCATTTCCTGCATCCTAGGTCCAAAGTAACTCTCACACTAACGAATGCTGTATCGCTGCAAGACACTGTGATCCTTTCCTCGCCATGTGCTATCAATAGTGCAAACCTCTGTCTGTGCAATCCAGGAGCTAACCCTTGCTCTCCCCTTAGACAGACAGACAGACAGACAGACAGACAGACAGACAGACAGACAGACAGACAGACAGACAGACAGACAGACAGACAGACAGACAGACAGACAGACAGACAGACAGACAGACAGACAGACAGACAGACAGACAGACAGATAGATAGATAGATAGATAGATAGATAGATAGATAGATAGATAGATAGATAGATAGATAGATAGATAGATAGATAGATAGATAGATAGATAGATAGATAGATAGATAGATAGATAGATAGATAGATAGATAGATAGATAGATAGATAGATAGATAGATAGATAGATAGATAGATAGATAGATAGATAGATAGATAGATAGATAGATAGATAGATAGATAGATAGTAGATAGATAGATAGATAGATAGATAGATAGATAGATAGACAGACAGACAAACAGACAGATAGACAGACAGACAGACAGACAATTAGATAAGATAGATAGAATATAGATAGATAGATAGATAGATTAGATAGATAGATAGATAGACTCAGCTAGATAGGATAGATAGA